TGTGTGTGTGTTAGACCAGTTTAAGTGTTTATGTAGTATGTTAGACTAGTTTAAGTGTTTATGTAGTTAATAAAGTCTTACTTGTATCACACTTGACGTTGTTCATTGTTTGCTCATAACTAGAGTCCCTTAATCATGCAGATTTATGCTACAGGCTCTGTGTAGAGTTGTACAGTAAGAAAGTTATTTCCCTTAACCAGGAAATGAATGTTCTTAGAATTGACAGACAGTTGACCCTGAGAGGTCAAGTAAATATCTACAGCAGATCTAAATATTTATAATTAATTATAACTAGTTATGATTAATTATTCATATTTCCCCATGAGCTGATTCGCTACATCCCTCGCAGCATAATTTTATCATTTCTTCATTCACATGAAAATATGGCATCTACTCTGACTAAGGTCTTTCACAGACACGTGTATTTCTTCTATCTGAAATACAGTATGTGCAGCCATTTACAGTAATGATTAGATTTATCATCTTTTTCCACATGACAACAACCCCTATTAAATGATTTCAGTATGTGGAATAATCACAGATCTTAAGGTTGCTAGAGGTCAGGCATGCAAGACACTGTAAAAAAAATTCTGTAGTTTTTACAAAATAATTTTGGCAGCTGTGGTTGCCAGAATAATTTTGTAAAAAATACAGAAAAACTGTAAACACATTTACGGCCATTTTACAGTATAAAACTGTAATTTACAACCAAGAAAATTGGAATGTAAACCAGTAAATTCAACAATGCACACTGCTATTAAAATCTGTTTTGTACCTTTAACATACTGACAACCACCATAATAATGCAGGTGGTAAAAGAGAAAGCCACATGAAGAATCAAAGCTCATCACAAGTAGCTTCGCCACAAGCAGAAGTATATACTAATATATAATTTTACAGTTAAAATTACACTTATTTTTTACAGTGTGTTATACATTACAAAGTTTGCATAAACTGCTAAAACTGTTTGTTTAGAGTGGAGCAGTTAAGTTACATTTTTGAGAGCCACTAGGCTATATCTAGTGAATATGTACAGTAAGAGACAAATATATCTATATGCTACTGTTCAAAATATGCACTTATATGCTCACCAAAGACTGCCTATTTGATCAAAAATACAGCAAAAACAGTAATATTGTAAAATATTATTTCAATTTAAAATGGCCGTTTATTTTAATGTTAAAATGTGAATTTTCAGCAGTCATTACTCCAATCTTCAGTGCCTCATGATCCTTCATAAATCATATGTAATGTGCTGATTTGGTACTCGAGAAACACTTGTTTTTATCAATGTTGAAAACAGTTGTGATACTTAATATTTTTAGATTTTTTTTCAGGATTCTTGATAAAAGGAAAGTATTTAAAACAGAAATCTTTTGTAACATTATAAAAGTCTTTACTGTCACTTTTGATCAATTGAATGGGTTTTTGCTGAATGGGAATCTTGCTGACCTCAAACCTTTGAATGGTAGTGTGTCAAACCCATCTCCGTATCTCCAGCTCTCTGAAGTGTGTGTTTTAATCTCACATCTTGTATATTTGCCCCTCTCATTTTAGCTGTTCTGGATGGCATGGAGCGGCTCACTGCTGAGGAGATGGATGAGCGGCGTCAACAGAACATGGCCTATGAATACCTGTGCCATTTGGAAGAGGCTAAACGGTAAGAGACCAATTCTCCATTTCAGCCTCTCGGCAGTTAAGTTAATTCATGACGGTTAACACAGAGTGTTTCGCTTAAAATAGCAGTTTAGCTTTCAGTTGGTGGTTGTTTAATGTCTCTGTGACGAATACTTGTCACCTGATTGTGGGTGTCTTCAATGCATGTCCCAGCAAGACCCACTACAGTGAATTTCTCAATAACCCAGACTCTCCATGAAGCTCTGAATTCTTATTTCAGTCTATGGCTTAAACTTTAAAGAGATAGTTCAGGCCAAAAATTCTGTCGTCATTTACTCACCCGTTCCAAACCTAAATGACTTTCTGCGGATCATAGAAGAAGATATTTTGAAGAATATTTCAGCTGTTGTTGTCCACACAGTGAAAGACAATGGGGTCCAAAACTTCATTGGAAAACAATTAAAAAAATATCTTCTTTTGTGTAATGCAGAAGAATGGTACAACATATAGGCAAGAAAATAATGACATTATTTTTATTTTGGGTGAGCTATCCCTTTAATGATCTCAAATTGCAAAGACATGGAAAATGAGATATGAGAGAATGGTTGTTCAAGAAAATACAGTACCATTCAAAAGTTTGGGGTCGGAAAGATTTCTTGTTTTTCAAAGTCTCTAATGCTCACCAGGGCTGCATTTATTTGATTAAAAAAGACAGTAAAAACAGCAATATTATGAAATATTACTATTTAAAATGACTGTTTTCTATTTTAATGTATTTTAAGGTGTAATTTATTTCTGTGATGGCAAAACTTAATTTTCTGCAGCCATCACTCAATTCTTCAGTGTCACATGATCCTTCAGAAATCAATCTAATATGCTGATTTGCTGCTCAAGAAAAATGTATCCTTATTATCAATGTTGCAAACAGTTGCTGTTTCATAATTGTTTTTTGAAAACCATAATACATTTTACGATTCTTTGATGAATAAAAAGTTCATAAGATCAGCATTTATTTGAAATAGACTTTTGTAACATTATACATGTCTTTACCATCATGGATAAAAGTACATTTCTTTAAAAAAGTCTTACTGATTCCAAACCTTTGATTGGTAGTTGTTATAATTTTGTTTTTTTTTTACATTTTTACATGAAAATGTGACTAGTGCTTAACCATGCAAAAGTCACCATCAAAATGCTAATGTGTTGTGGGTGATTGTCAGGGTGTTGATTTGAGGTTGCTAATGTGTTTTGAGTGATTTGAAGCATGTTGGATCCAAGGGGATTCTAGATCATTTCTAGGTCCAGTTTTGGTTGGCTTAGAAAAGTAGCACACCTTTCCTCAAAACGTCACAAATTTTTAGGAACCACAGAAGTTGTGTGAGAACTTGCACATCAAAGTTTGATGCTAAGGGAACACTGTAAAAAAATAGCTGTAAAAAACTGCCAAATTCTGACAATAATATACTGTTTTCCATTAAAACAGTAATGTACTGTAGAAAACAATGCATTCTAGGCAATAATGTTCACGGTAAGCAACTGCTGTTAGTTTACAGCCCATTTTCAACACTAATCTACTGTATTTTATGTATTATGGTTTTGTACTACACAATGCATTTTGGGCTGTCCATTTGAAGCAATAGCTCAATGGTGCCGAACGAGTGTTTCACATGAATTTGAGTACGAGTAAGTCCTTGTTTGCGCCGCTCATGACAGGAATATATGTGGAAAATAGAAGAAAACTGATCGAAGCAGAGAGAAGAGGGAACTTTGACCCTGACTGCAGCGAGGAGCTCGTTCTTTTAAAACTGGACCGGCCAAACACCACCCAATTACTTGTCACATTTGTTCTTAAACATTATTGGTTGTTAAACTTTTAAAACACAATTTCATTTAACTGTATAAGCTAGGGCTGCACGATTCATCAAAATTAAATCGCAAAGGCGATAAATCACGATTAGGCAGAAGCTGCGATTGTCATGCGTATCTTTCAGTGAAGCACGGTTCTGTGATCAACAGTAAATCTCCATCCGAAGGCCAGAGGGCGCTCTCGCAGGGAAACTCCAAATACGCCTGCTGAAGAAACCCAGGAAATCCCTATAGCGGTTGCTGAATAAACAGAAGATTTAACTGCTTTCATTAATTCAACGTGATTAATAAACACACGACTTTGACAATATATGGTTTATCTGAGTTCGTCTTATTAAAATTTTTATTATAATAAAGTATTTAATAATGCAATGCTAATCGACATAGCCTTTAAATAATATGTTACGTGCCTTATTCTGTGTAAGAAGCCACATCATCTCACCGAAGGATTTATTTCAAACACTCGACTGACGTTATGAAGTGAGTTTGGAGTAAAAACATGTTATTAAATGTGTTTTTTCATGTGCTTTCATATGGAGCCGCATTTACTACACAGAGCCGTAGTTCACTGACAAGCTATGCAAACAGCTTTCATAATTCGCAGAACGATTTCTTCGATTTCATAATCGCGTGATTAAATTGTCTGCGATTATGAACGCAATTTTGCGTAGCTTGTCAGTGAACTACGGCTCTGTGTAGTAAAAGCTGCTGCATCTGAAAGCACGTGCTGGAGATTTACTACTAATCACAGAACCGGCTTTACTGACAAGATACGCATGACAATCACATTCGATTAATCGTGCAGCCCTAGTATAAGCTATATAACGGAGTTTAAGTTTGCATTCTTTTATGCACTTTTTTTATGAAAATGTTTACGTTGCTTTTAATCTTGCCTATTTTTGTCCATTTCGGGTGTTCTTGCTTATAAATAAATGTTCGCTTTTTATTAGCCTATTACTGTTGCCTGTGTTTTTACTGTAGTAATTTGCTATGTGATTTTCCAACCTAATTTGGGGTTCCTTTTTGACCCAGAGCTTTTTTTAGTGTATTGTTGAAATAATAACAGAATGTACTTCATGTATTTTTTTACAGTAAATGGCTGTAAAGTAATTTCACAGTATTAGTACCATAGAATTACAGTATATTGCTGGCAACTCTGCTGGCAGTATTTTACTGAAAATAAAAAAAAAATACTGGAAACTACTGTATTTCATTTTTACGGTAATACGCTGTAAAGCAGTTTCACAGTATTCATACCGTATAATTAATTACAGTAGATTGCTGGCAACTCTGCTGCCAGTATTTTACCGTTACTTTACAGATAATTTTTTTTAGAAGTCCCTACTCTGCTGTATTTAATTTTTTCTGATCTTTTGGACATTATGGAGTCTATGGTCTGCCAGTGCACTCATTACATGCACACACAGACACATCAGTAGTGCAAGAGGAAGTGAGTCAGTCCCTGTTGATTTCAGTATCTCTCTCTGTAGCTGTGGCAACATGAGGTTGTCATAGAGACTGGTTGCGGTGTCTGCTTGTTTGAGGGAATGAGTGCGTGACATAGTGGGAGAAAAAGAAACTCCAATGTATACATAGTGGGCAGGTGAGTTCAAAGATATTCAGAGTCTTGGCCATTTATACTACCGTTTATACCCGGTTCAGATGTCCTGATTTGTCCTGCTGTAACATCAGATCTTTACAGTATGACTGCACTTTAATAAATCAGCTAAAACACCAACACCGTTGCTATCCTTGATGTCATCCATCAGGCTTTTGCCTGGAGGACGAGAGAAAGTTTCTTTCTCGGGCCTTGTTGAGCTGACAGTATTTGCCCTCAGGCTTGATTCAGAAATGCTGGAATGCTTGGAGTTTGCAGTGATCATGACGTGCAGCAGTCTGTGGTATGATGGGAATTTCACAGGTTTATATGCAGTGTCTGAAAGCAAATGGTTGTGAATTTGTTAGTTGTTAGAATACCACAGCGCAGATAATTCCAAACGGGCTTTTATCGTTCGTTTATTTCCATATCAATGTCTGCTATAAAGCCTGAAGTCCTGCTCTGTATGATGATGTGCTCAAGTGAATTGTGTGCGTCTCTGAGCAATGCAATGCAAATTCTGCACCTACAGTATTTTATCCTCTCTATTTCCATCCGTGACTGTCAACTGTGCCATTTCTTAGTTTACAGGTGCATCTCAATAAATTAGAATGTCGTGGAAAAGTTCATTTATTTCAGTAATTCAACTCAAATTGTGAAACTCGTGTATTAAATAAATTCAATGCACACAGACTGAAGTAGTTTAAGTCTTTGGTTCTTTTAATTGTGATGATTTTGGCTCACATTTAACAAAAACCCACCAATTCACTATCTCAACAAATTAGAATATGGTGACATGCCAATCAGCTAATCAACTCAAAACACCTGCAAAGGTTTCCCGAGCCTTCAAAATGGTCTCTCAGTTTGGTTCACTAGGCTACACAATCATGGGGAAGACTGCTGATCTGACAGTTGTCCAGAAGACAATCATTGACACCCTTCACAAGGAGGATAAGCCACAAACATTCATTGCCAAAGAAGCTGGCTGTTCACAGAGTGCTGTATCCAAGCATGTTAACAGAAAGTTGAGCGGAAGGAAAA